AAAGCCTGGAAATGTCCTAGTCTGAATCACCTCCCAGAGAAAAGGAATGAGATGTGTTTGTATTCCAGATGCAGAAAAAAATCCTTCAGAATGACCGTAGCTCTGAAAAAGGATGCACTCGGCTCAAGTCCTCCAGAGTTGGTAGCTCTATACCACTGATGTTCCAGGCTGACCTAATGACCCTCTGCAGACCTTTTTATCCCATGATCTGCTAATGCAGTAAGTAAGGAAACTGGCACGCTGCAGCAGTTGTCCTACTTCAGCTGAGTCTGGCAGAACCAAATAATGTACAATTATAAGTGTTTACTATATGAAAAAAACAAAACAGAATTTTGATTGTTGCAAATATACCATTGGCGATACCACTAATTGCTCCTGTTTCTCTAAGTTTTGGAAATTTCTTCTATCTCCATTAAAATCATGCTGATTTTGTTTTACATGATAGAGGGACAGACCCAGCCTTCTCTGTCACAATTCCAGCTGTTTAAATCGTACAGGAGAAGTAGGTTATCTGGTATTTTCCAATGTCAAAAGTGGCTGTATTTCACAACGTATCTGTAAATGTTTAGCAGCCATGTGTTACTGAGGAAAGGGTAATGTAATACTATCTGTATGTCATTGTGAAGAACCAACAAATCCATCAATATAGTATGGTAGCAAAAATTCTAACCAAAAGGAAAATATAATTTTGTGAACTGCATTTCTCTCTCTCTCTCTCTTTATCCAGATTGGTAAATTTCTTAAAAACCTGAACAAACCAAATATCAGTCATCTAAATTCGTCATCAGTAGTACAGGTTACAAATGGTATGAGTATTAAAAGACCCAGGAGGAGATCTTTCATAGAGTGATAAGTCATTTCACACAGTAGATAGATTGAATTCTCTGAAAGATGGGTGATTTGACAGAAAAAAAGGATAATGGACAAGTGGATAAACAAACTGATGAGTAGAATAAACAACCTCACTGATGAGGGCACGGTATGGACGGACCACAGTGACGCGTCTTGATTCTTTTGGGTGAAGTGTTCTTAAGCTGAGACACTTACAGAGGTGTCAAGTAACGAAGTACAAATACTTTGTTACAGTACTTAAGCACACTTTTTCGTATCTTATTTTTCTTCCTACTTCTGGCTTCTACTCATTACATTTTCACACAAGTATCTGTACTTTCTATTCCTTACATTTTCAAAACAAACTTCGGTTTAATGTTTATAAATATTTATTTTAAGTCATTGGGTTTGCGTTATATGACTCATCCGATTACACTAGTTTCACTAGATGTGGATGGCGCCAATGATCTGCATGATCATTGGCTAATCATTGGTTAGCTAAAGGAAATCATCAGAAGCAAGCAGGTTTCAGAAAAAGATGTTGAAATGTCTGAACGGTCGGACACAGGTGAGAGCGTATCGGGAGACGGAGACCAACCAGACCTCCCTCATCCTTTGGCCCTATCTCAAAGAATTTTTCAAAATAGTCGAAAAAATTGAGCTTTCATTCAATTCATATAGTGGCATCTGGCTGTTTTTTTTTTTAAGGGTTACATTATACTTTTATACTTTAAGTAGTTATTGGAGCACATACGTTTTCACTTTTACTTGAGTAAAGAGGTCAAGTTGATACTTCAACTATACTTCTACTTAAGTAACAAATGTATGTACTTTGACACCACTGGACTCTCTCTTGTGTAACATCTGTACACCTTATTCACTCTGCCCTCTTCGCTTGGAGGTCAATCAGCATCCAAATCAGGCTAAACTGTGGTAGTTTCCTCATTTTTGTACTTAAAGTCTCATTAGAAGATGGACCTCAGTGTGATTGGCACTAAATATAACCACTGATTACATGAAATATTTGTTTACATTCTTTGATGCTAATGGGCAGAATGGATCTTTTAATATTGGTTTGCAATTTTAAATGACTAACTGAGATTCATTGTTGTCTCTCAACGTTATTACAAAGAGAGTACCAGTGTAACATGTATCAGTCACCAACTTGTAAACAAAGAAGACTCTTACTGATCCTCGGTCAGTCTTAAGCTCATTAACACTCTTCCTCCATTCATTAGACTCCAGCTTTGGTTCCGTTAGCTTTAATTTAGTTGGAGTGAACCGTTCTGTTAATTAGCTTTAATTATCTTCATTCAGATAGGAAAACAATAAATATCTTGCTATATCACAGCAACATGTAGCATAAACAAACCCCAGCACACCGACCTAAGAGGATGGACTCGTGATGTTGAAGGGAGGCTACCGTCTCCAACGGTCAGTTCCCCCCATCATCATCCTCCCTCTCTGCTCCCAGCCGCTTCAGGCCGGAGCAGGTCGGAGCGGGTTCAGCTTCTTTCGGTGAAATTCTTTATCAACCTTCTGTTTCCAGCCTCCCGGTATTCCTTAACGGTCCGCCGTGATTTTGACGTCACAGTGCGTGGGGGGAAAAAAACGTCAACACGCTCCTCCGCTGTTAGGGTTCGGGCGGATATCTATGGTTCGGGCAGTCACAGCCCTGGCAGAGGCAATGGGTCATACATGACGCCATATTGCGAGTGGCAAATGTAGTTTTTAACCAAACTAAAAACATTTATGATCACTGAAATTTACGGAAGAGGATTAGGGCCTGATTTTAAAATTTTATGTCAGTTTAATATGGGAACGGAGTCAGAATTCTGACTTTAATCTCAGATTTTTTTTCCTCACAAATCTGACTTTATCTGAGAATCCTGACTTTAATCTCAGAATCCTGACCTTAATCCCGGAATTCTGACTTTAATCCCGGAATTCTTTTTTTCTCAGAATTCTGACTTTAATCTCAGAATTTTTTTCCTCACAAATTTGACTATAATCTCAGAATCCTGACTTTAATATAAGAATTCTGACTTTAATCTTAGAATTCTGATTTTTTTTCCCCCTCACAAATCTTACTTTAATCTAAGAATCCTGAGTAATAAAATTAAATAAAATCTAAAAATGAGTTAACTTATACATTTTTTCACTGACATTGCATTTTTTTAAGCATCATCAAAATCAAATCCCCAAGGAGGCCTTTATAATAAAAATGCATAATTGGTTATTATTACAGAGACCGTTTTACAGCAGAAGACCAAGTCAAAGCTGCCAGCTAGACAAAAGCTCCAACATAACCCATATATACTGTAATGAAGAAAAGTTTTCTTTGTTGGTTCAAAAAACACAAAGACAAACGGATGCAGAGGATGCTTAGCCAAAGAGTTTAATAAATTCTTATTTTGAATTTAGAAACCACATTAGATTTCAAATTTGATTTTATATAAAATCAATCATAAGAGCTTTAGAGGCTATTCAAAGAAATCCAATTCACTTTATAGATGAGAAGGAAAACTGACTGTAAAATGAATTAGAATGAACCAATGAACATTTGCTTTGTTTTTACCAGCCAGAATGTACATTTATGGAAATAAACTTAAAGGAAAACATGAAACACACTTAGGCAACAGTATCTGGAAAGGCAAATGCATGCAGAGGTTTGACTAATGGATTACAGTTCAGATGTAGCTTGCTATTCATTTTTTAGGAAGCAATACATTTGTTTATAATGAGGCTGATAATGTGGGTTTTAGTGCTAAAGATGAGAACATACAGAGTATCTAACACACAGCTCAGCAATCACTATTTAATGAGAACAGAGTTTGAACCGTTTAACTCAATCTCATAGAAGGGAGAGGCGGGCAACTGCTTTAAAAACCCTTTAAATCATTGATCCTTATGTGGTTTAATCTGCATGTGAATTTATGGAGGGAAAAAGAACCCAATGTTTTTTATTCTTAAGTTACTTTTAGTCATGTCAGTTGCAAAATGTCTGTCTGAATATAGAAATGGCAATATTGAATTCTTTCCCTTCATAAAATAAAGGAAACTGCTACTTGCAAGCTTTAGGATCTAGAACACTGAAAATCTGCAACCAATGTCTTTAATGGGAGATAAAATTCTTTCTAACAGGCCGAATTCATGTGTGCAACTTCATATCCTAACATTGATGCTTTTTAAAAACTCCAATAAGCCCTGATACCTTTACATTTCCAAAAGATAGAAACTGCCACGTGATCCACTGCCCACCTCTCCCAGAAAAATGCTCACCCAGTGTAAAACAAATTTAAAGATCTACACATGGTTAATACAGAAAAATAAACAACAGCTGCACATAACCTATGGAGGTCCAGGAGTGTTTTCCAACACACAGAAAATCCAAAAAATAAACCCAACAAATGAATATTTCAAGTATAAAACTCTGGGAAACACTGTCCCCGATAAGCTGTTCCACCTTTGAAGTGAAATATGAGAGGCACTGCTCCCGATAAATACACACAAAACAAACAAACACACACAAACATACAGTAAATGGTAGGCAAAAACTACCGTCACTGGTCATTATGGGAGACACTGCTCCCGATAATGGAGTTTAATTATGGAAGGCACTGCTCCCGATAACATCATCAATCTGATAAGTGCTCCAACTTCGACTGTGCAACACAAATAAATTCTCCACAAATTATATCCTAAATTTAAATGCAGTTTCTGATTATTCTGCACAGAATTATGACACTAAATCTTAGCTTTAAGTATCAGAGAAAGTTTGGAAAACCCAGTTTTAAATTTAGTGCAATATATCGAAATCATTTCTCTCCAAAATGGCATCATGTCTCATGGGTTTAGAGGCCTAAATGTGGAAAATTGTATAAATAAATACCAGGAAAGTGTCATTCTAGCGTTATCCGGTGATCCCATTTCATCAGCAACAGTAAGGGAGTCATTGTTGTAGCAGATGCTGCTGTGGCTTTCGACAGTATAACTGTCATAATTATGGAAGGCACTGCTTCCGATAATGCTGTATAAAAAGACAAACAATAAATATAGTGGGCACTGCCACTGATAAATATGAAAAACAAACTAAAGCATAAATAAGGTTTCAGTGCTTTGAGGCTTTGTGTGGGTGGAGTTTGATGAGAGGAGGGGATTACAGCATTCCCCCCCCCACCTCAGGTGTTCTTTTATGGTTCACAGTTTTTTTTTTTTTTTTTTAGATATTATTTCTCCCTCTTCATGTAGATCTTACTCAAATTCAGAGGAAGAAAACCAATCAAATATAAACCCTGGTTTCAGAAACGATGGGATCTCTGATGGTCAGTTTGTGCTTCAGGTATTTAAATGTGGGAGCACTATAATTAACCTTTAAGCAGCTTTATGCTCTCTCTTACACACATACATATGGATTCCTGTATACAGCTTTAGATCTCGTCGTCGATGTCCCAGACGTTCCCCACCATGGCGTTGGCGCATCCCTGCAGGTTCCAGGTGGCCAGAGCCAGCTGGGTTTGGAGCAACTCAGGGTCTTTGGCTTCGGCGATGGACGCCAAGGTGTGGTAGCCGTGGCCGAAGATCAGGTGACGGAAGGGGGTCTCGACTACGGACACGTAGGGGGAGAGGAGGGAGTGCTCAACCTGGGGGAAGGAAGAGAAATCTAGTTCTATTGGAGTTTAGAAAGATTTCCTCTTGCAGCTTTAATCTTTGTTTTAAACTTGAATAACTGATAATCAAGTTTAAGATTCATTTCTGAATTAAAGCTTTGACATGAATCTAGTCAGGCTGCACATCATATAAAAAAGCACTCATCACAATCTAATAGAAATCTGCAAACTAGAATGGGAGCTTGTTTCTCACTAAGGATGCAAGTTATCGATTCACTTTCACTTTATTTTTTTAGCAAATAATCCAACATTAAACAACAAAACAACATCAAAACAAAACCAACAATTTACCGAAAAAAAAGGAATAGGCTGACGCAAAGCTTATTATTGCCTACCCTGTTTTATACTTACAACCTACCAGGCTCTTTACTGCATATATAAATATTCAAATCTACATAACATATGATTTTATCATTTTACATTTTAAAGCCCTTTTAAAATCGATCGCCAGATCACTCTAGAAAAAAAAACTATTTTAATATCAATGAGTTATTATTATAATAAATTGCTGTATAGTTGATTATTAGACTTTTTTTCTATAAACCTCAGTTTTCTCTCGTATGAAGGACATTTCCATTACATGAATTTCCAAATATTCTTTTGAAATATGCAATTTATTGCGCCAGCTGTGTTAAAGGTATAAAGGACAATCGTGCTCTTCCCCAATCAGCCATCTTTTTCTGCGCATGCGGACTTTCAGGCGTATATCTGTGGTGAGCTACGGTTTCAGACAGTCATTGAAGCTCACCTTTCTCACCACGGTTCTTTGAAAAGTATAGTATTCGAGTATAAAGTGTATGAGAAGAAAAGAAAGGCCTCAGAAGAGGCAGATATTTGCTTTCACAGCAGCCCGCTGTCGCTACCCAACTAATAATAAAGATGGGGCAGGCACCGCGCAGTGCAGGAGGAGTTACGTGACCGACGGGGAGCAAAAAGTTCACAGGTAAATTCCAGAGTGCTAACTATGTAGTGTCAAAGCACTTCGACTCTTTTAAAGTTATTAAAACCACAACTGGAATAAGATACACACCATGTAGAGAGTTAATTTAACATCAATTCAGAGTGGGACCAAATGCTCTCTGATTGGTGTTAAATTTAACTCTTAAAGTGTTTCTTTAACACTGCAAAATCTGTCCAAATGGTAAGTTAACATAGTTTGCTGTAAAATCCACTATATAGTCTATACTACACTGTATAGTGATTGTGGGATTTAGTGGTTAGGGTGGACGTACAGGCACAGCAAGCTTGTATGAGTTATGAGAAAAGCAACTTTTAAACAGAGCGTACAGGAGGAGAAATGGGCTCATGCATGCTCTCACAGCGTTTAATAGGCTTTCCTCTAGGAAGCGGGTACAGGGTTGTGCATGCATTTCTTTTATTGTTTTCTAAAGTGGAGAATTTCTTCAGAAATTTGCAAAAATCCTCCACAATACCTTTAAATGCTGACTAACTACCGTATTTTTACGACTATAAGGCGCATATAAACGTCTTTTTTTCCCCCTCAAATTGTGCGGCGCGCCCTATAGTGCGGTGCGCCCTATGTGTGTTCTTACTGCGGACGTTTGAGACCACTATGAGAACGTTAAAGGGGGAAGTGTGGGCGTGGATTGAGTATAAAAGAACAACCAACTGGTACAATCTAAACTGCAGGCACCAGGAAAATAAAAGCGAACATATTCTGTCGGCAGATTTCTGCATTTTAAGTTAATTTATGCGTCAATAAACTGTTTCAGAGGAGTGATCACAGCGCTGTGTCATCAGCGATGTGTCTGTCTCACGGCCAGCTCCCAGGTTTAAATAATACTTTGTAATAAATACATGAAAAAAGCACAAACATACTCAGTTTTGCTCCCGCTCTATTTTTAAATACGCTGTAGAGGTATTTAAACGTAGTAGAGGATATTTACCGGTATATAAAACCCGCGCCCTATAATCCAGTGCGGTTTATGTGTGTGTTAAATACAGTAATGGCAGGGTTACGGTTACGGTAAGCAAAAAAGTTACATGTGTTTAAGTTAGATCTATTTAGAAGAAACAAAACAGAAACCTGTTTGATTACTGAATAAAAAAGATGAATAAAATATGTCAAACACTAATGATTTCTGAAGTACAGAGATATAAAACTATGAATTAAAGACAGGGTATGACACCCCGACACAGTCAGACTATTAACCACTTTGTTTCCATGAAGCTAACTGGGATGTAGCTCTATATTTTTAGTGTAATCCAGCATTTAGTGCTAGGAGAGACTTTTGTGCTGTTAGCATCCCCTGAAAACGGTGGTTAAATGGGAGCCATTTTAGGTTTGGGTGTTTATATTTACAAAGAGACTATTCTAAAGTTCATTCTGCATCCCATGAGACAATGGAAATAAAACAATCTAGACTGTGGATTGATTCCTGTTTCTTGCTATAGCATGCCGCTAGCATTATCCCTCTTGCAAATACCTGTAAAGCTCAGATTAGGAACATACAGTGATACCCTCTAGTGGACGGCGGTGATATTACAACACTGAAAGAAATTCTAAGCATATGTTATTAATTAGTCCAGATGGAATACATTTTTTTTTATCTAACAGGCCATTAAATCAACAGTTAATAATTAGTCGATTATATGTTTACAAGCCTATAACTTACCCTCATGATCCTGTCGTTCAGGATACGAGCGGCTTCATTATCAGTCATGTCTGTGTTGGAGATGGCATTGGCGATGTCATCAGCTGCACGCTTGTAGGCGCCGCGTGCACGGTTCAGCCAGCTAGGACTGACATCCTTCAACTTCCCAGCCTGCAGGATTAAAGGTAACAACACACTATGAGCACTTTGCCATGCCAAAGAAAGGCAAGTTTATCTCTAGAACACAATTCTGTGCAAAGACAATTCAAAGCCCTTTATATAAAATGAATAAAAAAATACAAGATATTGGGTAATATAACATCAAATTCTAACATGAGAAAGATCACCTGTGTGAGCTGGTTGACTTGCTTGTAGATCTGGAGCACAGATTTGGTGATGGGGCCGTAGTATCTGCCTACGTCCAGATGGAGCAAGTGGTCGTGGACCAAGCGCAGCGTCATTAGGCCGGCAAACTGCGCTGCTGCAGCTGTGACGTTGCTGGTGCGGTGGTTGGTTTTGTAATTCAGGTGATCCATGTTGTCCAGGGCGGTGCCGTAATAAGGGTACGAAGCAGTCTTAAACTGAAAACGGAAACGCAACAATGAATCTCCACAAATCAAAGCTGACCTTTTAACTATAGACAAAAGCTTAATAAGCATCTTTTACCAACAGTAATTACACTTTAGTAACGACCACTTCAATAAGCTAAAATTAAACTACAATCATGCAGTGTTGGACAATCACTAATTATATAATGATTTCAAACAGTAGGTAGGGATGTCCCAATACAACTTCTTCATTTCCAATATGATACAGATAAGGCAGCTTTGAAAACTGGCCAATGCCCATAGTGACTCGATATGATACTAGCACAAATCATACCTGCTTTTATTCACTTTTTACACAGTAGAATGTTAGAAAAGGTCTTATCAAGTAATATTTTTTAAAAACGGGGAACAAAAGTAATAAAAAAAAAAGGTACAAAAACTTTGCTCATGAAAATGAACCAATGAGCTACAGAAACTTTAGACAGACTTTTAGATCCTGGCCGATAAATAATACTTTTTTTGGCTAATATTGGAGCGATATGCAACATCAAAATCAGACTGGGAAATCCCTAGCATTAAGAGGCCATTTTGTTTCGCTGTTATTCTCCATATTAGGTAATATCTTTAATAATGCGATTATATTTTTAAGAAAGGGGCATCAACAGACTTTGTTACTATTTACTGCTCATTTCTTTATCTTTCTTCCCAATAGGAGTTCAGTCTTCATGTTTTTCATTGTGACTTTCCTATGTAAAGGCAATAAAAGTGTAGCTTCTTCCACAACTTTTTGTCCTGCAAAGGGTTTATGGAAGTGCAGCCAGTGACCCATTTCTAGGAAGTCACTGAAAGAACTGCTGCTACCAGGAAATAAGTGTATTTTTTCCTACCCAAAGAAAGTGATCCTGATCTAGTTACTCTGGGATTTTTTTTCTTCAAAGCTATCATCTGACCATTCAACCCCCAGCAGGTAGCAGCACATAGACACTCACACCCAGCCTGCTAATAAATAACTCAATAGAAAGGCTGTATTACTTTGATATCATGACCTAACATTAACTTTTGCATTATGACCTAGATAGCACTGGTTTATTTGATTTCATGACTAAATCTGGTTAGGGTTTTATTTATATTTCAGTAACAGACATTTTGGAGATTTTAATCGACAACAGTGTCGGTTATAGAAGAAAAAAGAATGGATAAAAGTGTCGCACCTGCGTGAAAATCTGCTTCTAAAAAAAACCCCAAAACAATAAAGCTTTTCTGATTTGAACAGAAGACTTACATCTTTTGAAATGAAGTGGAAGGAAATGGAGGGAATGCCAGCAAAAGCCAGGAATGGATAAGCAGGATCCTCCATCGACATGGGCCTGAGACTGCAACCAGAAAACATCATTTAAACAAAGAAATAAAAAACACTTTGTTTGCATATTCTCTATTAATAAAGCTTTTGGTTTTAAAATCTAGTAGAGAACCAACTCTCTTCTGGAAACAATGTGGCATATGTACGGCCACATGCTTATATTATGAATATATAAAATGTGCTGTGGGTTAGTAAACAAATTAACTTAAAGTCAAACTGTTCTTTGAAACACATTTTATGGGAAATATCTGCAAAAAAGGTAAGAAATATTCCCAAAGAAAACTTTGATTAATAGAACAAAAAAAACACCAGTGATACAATTAGCGATGCTAATAATCCCAAGAATGTGAAGATTGTCTTCTATTCACACGTTACATTTCTTTGTTGGTCCGATCGTCTAAACATTTCTCATAAATAATAAATGACTTCCTGTTTCCTGGAGGTATGAATATAATTTGACAGAAGAATTCCTTTGATGCACATGTGATTTTAATGAAAAAAAAATAATAATAATAATAGTCCATTCCAATTTAACTGCAACATAAACTTATTCAAAATTAAAAGCCATTATTAATTTTATATCTTTATTGCTTAGATGACACATGCTCATTAAAGCTGACATTCAAAGGAATGTTCTGATCATTTTTGTAAAATAATAAAACTGTACTTTTTTTATTACATAAAATCGACTAAAGTATAATGAAATTTATTGTGATTTCATTAAGGGCCATTGTGAGCTTTAGTCATTTATTTCCAGTAGATTGTTTTAGTTGGACATTCTACTTACACTTCAGTCTCCCATTTCTGGGCTCCCATTTCATTATAGATTGAGGACACTTTTTGAGGCATTTTCACCTGCAGGAAAAAGACAAACAAAGTTGAACCAATCAGCCCCAGCAGGTCTGCAGAGCATCAGGCTCATCATCAAGTTCTGTTTTACCTCCTTCATGGTGCTTTCCATGAGGCCGTACAGCAGCGGACTGGCAGAGGCGATGAAACTTTCGCGACCTGTCAGAGACAAGCTTCATCAGCTGGAACCACTTCTAAACATGTTCTTTTTTTGGCGTGGTATAGGACTTACCCATTACTACTCCATCCAGGTTTATGTATGTGACGACATTTTGGTCAATCGAAGACATATAACCCTAGAAAAAAAAAAAAAAGAGAGACATTAGCAAATTTTATCCCCAAGCAGGAAGCTCAGTTAAGCCCAGTTTTATCTCGTGTGCTTCTCACCTCCAGCCACTCTGTGGCGCCAACGCTACCAAACTCTCCAGCGCTCCAGCTGGCAAAGATAATGCTTCTTTTTGGCCTGAACCCATCTAAAGGGGAAAACGTTAAAACATTTACGTCAACAAAATAGGAATACAGGCAGAGCCGCAATGCAACGCTCCTCATTTTAGTTTAGGTGGAAGGTATGGGGGACAGAGAAAGGCTAATGTAACATTTAAATCATGCAATTGAGAAGCTTTTTGTAATAGCATATTTTAAATTCAATTATTAAAGAGGAATAATAAATTGTATCCATTATTAAATACTGGAATTTGAAGATGTATTTTCAACCCCTTTTTCTAAATAGAAATTTAAGTTAATCAGAAATACTTTTGCACATCACACATTTAAAAAAAGTTATTCCTTATTCCATTTCTTAACTTTTATTTTAAAATTTTTAAATATTTTTTCTTTTTGCTTTATCCTCTCCATCTTCCTTTTCTATTACCTTTCTGGTCCCTGACCTCACTGAAAATTGAGTTTTGAGGGAGTTCCTCCTCAGATGTCACCAACCCCCTCATTGGTCATTGTCTTAGGCCCCGTCCACACGAAGTCAAAACGAACACGAAACGCTGATATTTTCCAAAACGTTTGCCATAAAGACGGAGACGTAAAATAAATGTGATCGTCCACACCAATGCATGAAAACGCTGCAAAATGTATGCCAGGCCTTTAAGTGGCGCTGTGGTGCCAAAGCAAAAATAGGCGACGAAATGTTGGGCATGCGCACTAATATTTATACATGGTTGCCCTGCGGGTCCATTTTCGTGGTTCAGTCAAATTCAGGTGCTGAACTATGTCGTCGATATTGCTCTGTTCTTCCTGGAGATATTCCAGAAGAAGAAGATTCTGTTGTAAGCCCGACAGCAGGGTGAGTAGCGTGAGCAGCAACCATTTAACACAGTACGGCGCCATTGTTGTTGTGATACTGTGTTGCGCATGCGTGTTTAGAGGCGACGCTATGACGCATGCGTGTAAAAAAAAAAAAAACGCGGTTAGAGCTTAAAGATGGAAACGCGAAAACGGCGTTTCAAAATCTTCCCACTCTGAAGGCTGAATAAAAAGAAAATCGTTTACAGAACCCCGAAACGCCGGCTTCGTATGGATGAGAGGCTGGTTTGGTGAAAAATTTGTGCGTTTAGGCCAGGGTTTGGCTTCGTGTGGACGGGGCCTTAAAGTGTGGCTAACGAAACCATAAACATTATATATATAGATGCCTAATATTTATATAAATATATGGCACACATTAACTGATTAAAGAACAAGTGTTCTCATTTGCATAAATATCATCCATCCATTTTCTGTCACGCTTTATCCCCAGCGGGGTCGTGAGGATGATGTGCCCATCTCCAGCTGTCTACGGGCGAAAGGCGGGTCCGCCCTGGACAGGTCGCCAGTCCATCGCAGGGCAACACAGAGACAAACGACCATTCATATGTGCGTTTGGAGGTTTCTTCTTGGATAACCATTCTTACCTTTCTCCACCATCTCATGAAACGTCTTGGCCAGCTCGATCAGCACAGAAGCACCAACAGTGGCTTTGGTGTAACCTGCCCCCCAGGCGTCCCTCTGAGCTCCCAGCACCACATAACGATCTGCATATTCATAATAAAAAACTCTGCTCAGTAACTAAGATCCTTGTAGGAACCAAAAACACAAATAACCAGAGAAAACCTACCAGGATCAGTAAATCCTTTGATCACTCCGAACACATTGTGAATCTCCTTGTTGACCAAGATGTTGTTCACTTCAACAGTGATGTTCTGAGTGCCGCCCAGGCTGTAAGCCACAGACTTCAGCTCACCCCTGAAATCACTGCCTCCGTCAGGACCACCGATTTTTCTGAGAAAGAAAAAGAGACGTCAACTTTATTCAAATAAAGTTACGGTCAATTTAAATATTTAGTCTTGATGTGGACTTTAAAGTGATTTATTTAGACCAAAACTATGTCAATTTTCAATATTCAGAAGATATCCAAAGTTTTGTGACCAGTCAACTTGTAACCAGTTTATTTACACTTCTGTCACGGCCCGAAGAGGTCTGCATTGATTTTACCAGCACTAAGCAACTTTGGGGAGGGTGGCAGTAATCCTGGCACATGTGCAGGAATACAGTAGAAAACTAGACCCACTCACAGGCAAAAATGACTTTGGCCACTGGCGGGCCAATCACAATGCAGAGATGTGTTTTGAATTTCTGGATGCAAAGCTTTTGAGGCCGTGACGACAAAGCTGCGCGGCGCTGGAGAAAGCACAACAAGGAAGATGGCAACAACTATTGAACCGTTCTCGTTTGACTCAGCTTTGGAATCAGTTTTGGAAGGATTAGACTTGGGGTTTTCGTTAAAACGTGAGCAGGAAGAGGCTCTACGCTCATTCATTTTTAAGAAGGATGTATTCGCCGTTTTACCGACAGGCTGTTTGTTTACACTCCCCCACCAGCTTTCTGTCGCGCTTACTACATCACAGTCAGTTGCGCTCATTGGTCAGAGCGCTGGCCAATAGGCACAGACATGGTTTAAAAGACAACGGTTTGTTCTCATCAACAATCTTCCGATGCCTCATTCATCGGGGCCAGAATAAATCACACATTTAATCTCAGATTTAGTCTGGTTTATCAGGCTACACACTATCATCTTTACCAAGCTAGTCCTCATGGGAAATGCAGTCTTCTTCAGGAAAACCAATATAGCTTTTCCCCACTGGGGGGAGCCACTCAGACAAGACAGAGTCAATTGCAGACTGTGACAGTTACTATGAAGAAGGGAGTCAGTTGATTTCCTTAAACCTAAGAACACTAGATCTACTGAAAGGGTAAAACCTCAAAATTCCCCCAAAATTTAAAAGTTTAATGGTCAAAAATTGCACATTATTAGATCTCCTAGCAGTTCATAGATCCCCACCAGGTTTTGGGATAATTTCCAGCATGTTAGACAGCTGTTTTTAGCCTCCGGAAACAGGCCATCAATATGAAACAGCCCTCTCAAAGCTCAGCAAAATTAGAATCAAGGTCCAGTGCCAGGAAACGAACACCCCTTTCCCACTGACAGTTCACTGACGCATGTCTATATGGGTAAACGATTTGGCAAGCAACGTCCATTAAAACCACCTCGGCTCTGATCGGCATGCAGTGGGAAAACCAGACGCGGGTTGACTCGCTAAATTACGTGACACCATTGAACGCAACGTACAGATGTCAACACATCGCGCCGGCCGCTTCTGATCCAACAAGCCGAAACTACTTTGTTTACATTCGATAAACATGTAGCAGCTCTGGTGGGAGGGATTTGGACAGATATAAGAGTTAAATAATAAAGAATACCGACTACTCTCTGGCTGCCGTCCACGTTGCTCTCCATTATTTACTTCCCTGATTTCCGTGGCACAGTCGACATCAACGCTCACCCAGCATGATGCCGTCATCAGACACACAGCGGTGGGGGACAGCCGCCACACAATTTGCCAGCAGCGGATCAGACTTGGCTTTTTTAAAAGAGCCAAAAGCCGATTGTTAGCAAGTCAACTCAGTTTTGGAAAACCCAGAGTGTTTTTTTGGGAAAGCGATCAAAATTAACTCCTCCAATTCTGTACGGAATAAAAGCTTAAGGCTCAGCATTGATAAAAAAATATTGCCAAAAGCTGGTTGATGGAAAAAAAAAAGCTACATGGTGGAGTTTGAACTTGCTAAATTAAATTTAACAAAATCGGGTGTTCAGTGGTAGTTTTAATTAGTAGTTAAATATATAAGCCTGAAACCTGAGAATCCAATAATTCCCACTCAGATAAGAAAAATTCTGTTTTTGTTTTCTTCATGATTATACTGTCATTTCCTGCTTAAAGGTAAAGTTTCTCACTTCAACAGAGCTGCAGCCGAGTTGGCGGTGATGGTCTGGGCTGGGATTTCAGGCAAGCCAGCTGACTCTGTGGGGGCGAACTGGGTGTGGTTAAAGGATGGGAATCCTGGGGTGTAGGGGTCCCCAGAACCAAGATGGACCTGAAATTAAACAATAAATAATTAATGATGGAAATTTTCTTATAGTTGTGTATATTTGATTGAATATGTTAAATACATACATGTCCGTAGAGTTCAGTCTCTGTAACCACGTTGTAATCTTCAGTGTCGAGGTAGATCAAAACAGCAGAAGCTCCCATCCTGGCAGCATTGTCCACCTAAGAGACCAAAATAGATCCTTATCAAAACATTCCAACACCTTCCTCAAGAAGACATACGATAAATAACTTTGTGTCACAACAGTAGTGAATCCAGACATACCTGTTGTGCCAAAGTGATCTTTCCAGCTCTCAGCAGCAGAACAGAACCTTTCAGATTAACTTTCCGCTGCACGAAGTCCAGATCCTCCTGACGGCCGTAGTTTCCATACACCAGAGGGCCCTATAGACGCAGACAGCAGCAAAAGTCCCAGATGAAACATATAGCAGAGCGGCTACATCAGGTTAAGCTTTTTAAACACCAGAAGCTGAAAAGCTCTGATCCGTTGGTCCCTGATAAACAGCTGTTAGCAGAGCTGCTGTGGTGGCTGGTAGCTATGCTAATCCATGAGCAAACCTCTGCTTTTTCAATAAACTATAATGCATTAATGTCTTTTTTCTGTTTTAGAGTACAGTGCTGAAGTTGAGATAAATAGAAAGTTTTTTTTTTATCCTGTTTGGGAAGACAAATACACATTTAATTTCACTAAAGGTGAGAAACGTACTTCTGTGTAATTAAACAAAAAATCTGGCAAAAGCTGCAAGGGTTGCATTTACAGAAATATAAATATTATAAAAAAGGTTTAAAAACATACCGTAGATGTCAACTTGAAACATGTCCTTTCCTTTCTTTTTTTTTTATACAGTTGTTTTTATTTTTATTAAAAATTTTTTAAAACAAATAAAATCCATCTATTCATCATCTTTTATTAATGTTTCTGGTATTATCAGAACTAATGGCAATATATTCAACATTGAATTGCAAATGTGATTTTTTATTGTCTGATAAGTACTGAATATAAAAGAAAGTCACTTTTATTTACTGAATCTATCCTAATATTATTCTATTTGAAAGCAGGAACTAGTATACAGACGTGCTATAATAAATAAAATGTTTACTAAATGTCTCTGGTATGAAACTCATTAGTGTCATTTATGATGCAATCATTTAAAATGCAATTATTTTCATGTTAGAATCTTTACTTGCATTTATCTGTCCATTAAACAAAAACACTGGAAAAATACAGCTAGAACATCAAAGTATCATGACAACATCTAATCAGCAGCAATAAAACCTAATTGTTACCTGATAAAAATGTTTTTATTATTTATATTTATAGAAAATCAAAGCATCACCGTCTCAGTTCGGTGGGTTTTATGGTGTAATTAAAAGAGGAGGTTTGAAAATAACGACCAAATCTTAGATGTAAAACAAACACCTAAAGTAGTCCTTAATAGAAATTTGTAGGCGATTCAGAATTTGAAGATTTAATGCATGTCTAATAATAACCAAACCTGTTCTGTAACCGTTTTAAATGTCTATAAGCCAACTGGCTGGTTTAGCAGAGCAAAATCCAATTTAACATATTTAAACCTTCGTAATGAGGTCTAAATCCTGCAGCCGAGGTGTCAGCACACCTCTAGGGTTAAGACCGTCTCAGATCTCTAACTCTACAGCCTTAGAAGCACAAACATCACACCCAACCCCTGCATCTGGGAGGGAAAACAATAATCCTCAGATGTTTTTGGTTAAACATTAATTCTGACCTCGACTCTGCCAGGTTTGCTGTAGGCCAAATATCCTTTAGGTTTAAAGACGTCAGAACCAAAGTAAACAGTGTTGGGCATCTCGCTGTAAAGAAGAAAGAAGAAAAGGCTTTTAATCTGTGATTCTATTGCAGAATTCCTAAAAAACCTTGTTTGGAATGAGTTTCTAACAAGGAAATAAGCTTAATGCCATTAATGCTTGTAAAATCTAAACGTGAAAATGCAGCATTTGTTTGATTTCCTTTGCTGCTTTAAGGAAATCGAACAAGCTGTGTGGTTCAACGAAATAGAAACAAGAGAAATCAAAAGGCAGACCTGTTGGGCATCTGCAGCTGAACGTAATGGATGTCGGTCCAAGGATGCATCCCCAGAGTCTGGAACGTCGAGAAGATCCCATTGGCCAGTTTCATGTCTTGATCACTTCCTGCTGACCGGGTCGGCTCATCGAATTTCCTGCAAAGAGAGGATGTTTTCACTTTCTTCTTCCAGTCTGGCTTTAGCACACAAACTTATCACAACTCTACACATTCTGCAGCCTTATGACTTATCTATACAAATATAAAGTTTTTTTTTTTCCTCTTTTGAAATGTCTTCAAATTTGTATCCAGGTATCAAACTGATTGTGTTTTTTTCGGGGAATTTGATGCCCTAAATATCTTTCAGATATTATTCATTTGAAGAGTGAGGTTTCCGTAATGAATCGGCTTGCAGGCCTCAGTGTTTGCATGCTGAGCTCTTTTCTCAGTTTCAGTGTCAGAATAACCAAATCAAAGTAATCTGAACGGTTACAGATCCAGAACCTACTTAAGAGTCTGTTCAAAGTTGTTGCTGCTGAGTTTGCCTTTCAGGAGCCGAGTGAGGTCATTCCAGGACAGAGAGGCTTCTGGAGGAGGCACAGCCTGCGTCGGAGCGGCTTTCGCTGGAGTCGTGGTTTCACTCTTCATCCCCTGTCCGCAGTCAGGCTCCACCTTGGGTTTATGATGGCTGATGAAACCAACTAGGTAGCCTGAGGAGAAGCAGTCAGGGCAAAAGACATTCAGCCAGTTATGATGAGAGCAAGACAAAAATGAAAATAAAAACAAAATGGACAGAATTTAGGTTTAAATAACTGTATGCCTCAAATAACCCAAAGAGAATAAAAATAGAATCTGTCCCAATAATTATTAACCTAAAAATTGGAAAAGTGGAAACCTTTGTAGCATGATGGTGTAAAAAATAATAATATAATTTAACCCTTTCTGAACTCAATTGTTGGCAATGCAACACATCAGGCACTCAGTTCATCTTTAATGTAGTAGACTGTAGGAGTGAGTACTGGCAATACACGCCATGATACTTGGGTCATGATATCAGATCACGATATAATATTTTACCCAGCTATTAAAATTAAATTTATGGATAAAAAAGAAAGTGCTGTATATGTTCCTAAGAATCCATGTTGTCTGGGGTTTCAGTCTCAGGCCGTTTCTCAATAAGTGTACTTGTGCGTTCTGATGTGCTCGTGCACTAGTGAAACGTCATCAGCTTCGACCCTAGTACTCCAATTCACAAGAACAGCAGACCAAGACGACAAAGTCCCCAGATGTTGTTCTCGCCCCTCCCTATTTACCCAGCATGCATCAGAGCAGACTTGTCCATTCTGGAGATTGACATCTGTCCCAGCATGCACTGCAGCAGCAGCAGCTTTCAATGAGGCGCTCCATTCAAAGTTAAAAGTTCTCTTTTCTGTTGCTGTTGTTCAATAAAAGTACATTTTAAGATGATTTGAGGTGAGAATATTGTACTTTAAAGCATCACTATATGGTCCATTTACCGATTTAATGCGTAATTTAAAAATAGATTTCCGAAGTTGAGAGGAACGCAGCAACCAGTGGAGCTCTGAGGCTAACGGCGGCCATGGCTAACCCGTCTGCAGCAGCCCTCGCTCTGCATGGCCGTGTGTGAAGGACCGCTGGCTCTGATGATGATTTTTTTGTTTTATTTGTCAAAATGTTCATTTGATTTGTGTTTATCTGACTGTGTTCATTATTATTCCCCCACGAAATGAAAAAAGTAAGAATGTATTATTATCTAGAGACTATTAATAACAGGAGGAGAAATGCAGCTCTAGACGAGCTGAGCGTGTGGTGAGGTCACTTCTACTCCAATTGACCCATATTTATACTGCGTTCTCCCGCTCTCCCCAAGTCTATACTTTTCTGTGTTCTTCTAAAGAACATACTTAGTGAGGACACGAGTCCGTACTCATGTTCTAGTGAATGGAGAAACGGCCTCAGCCTTCTACTGTGACTGCCTCAACTACAGAAATGGTGCTGCACCGCACAAGGGTCTAGGTAAATGTTTTTTTTTTTTTTTATCGACATTAGGAACTAAAAGATCCATATTAATTATTTATGATTATGAATTCATTAATAATATTATTAATTAATTAATAATACCGGGCAGCCGAAAATCATGATATATATCGCCAAATCAACTTCTGTCCCACACTCCTAGTTAACTGTATCTCACAGCCCCACGTTTTATACTAATAAGGGAAAAGGTAACGAACCGGCGACAAAAATCATGAGGAATCCCACGATCATGAAGGCAACGGTGCGCCTGTTGTTGCGTGGAGGCGCGGGCCTAAAGCTGGGCGAGCCGGGCGCCTCCGCACCGTCATCCACAGCGTAGTCTGACAGGTTGACTTCGGTGTGCCTTTCGCTGTTCTCAGACGGCTGCAGCGTGAACCTGCTGTACCGCTCACTCTTCATCTGCAGGTAGGCGAAACAAGAGCACAGAGCTATGATAGCAATGCGGGCCCCTGATGCCTCCAGCAGGAGGATCCACATAGTCAACATGAGCTCAGGTGTAAAAAGAAAATATCAAACAGAAAATACAAAGTGAAATTTGCTTTTTAAAACTCACCATGCTTTGAAACGCTGATCTAACCCGCTCCATGGTTCCTGTTTCAATAGAGAAAAAAGGTCATGGAGCTATGATGTAACAAATAAAGGAGAGCAGGCAGAAGCCCCAGGTGGAGGGGAGGACGTGAGGCCAAGCATGACTGCTTTTTCCACAAAGGGTGGAGACCGTTTTTTTTTTCTATGTAAACCTGCCTATTTCCTGAGACCGAGACAAAATCGCATAAAACTCTGTTTTATACACACAGTTCTGTTTGTACATCATATAATGTGTGCCTTGTTTAAAGGGTTCAGCTGCTTTTTACTCAAACTAATGCTGTAATTATTACTGAAGGACCTTTGATCAACTAACTGATTACTCAGTGATTCAGCACACATAAAAACATTAATCATGGGGCAAATTTAAACTGAATTATGGCTTTTATAAACAAACCAACACTAATATGTTCAAATAGTTTTAAATGAAACCTTTCTGAGAGCTTGAACTGTTAAGACGAAGAGCATGAAATGTTCTGAGCTGTAAGGGCATCAAAGATTTCATTTATAAGAGCTGAAGGCAAACTTTTATGAAACCCAAAGACCGTTTATTGAGTTTAACATTTAACCTTTCTAGGAATTAATACATCTGGTGAGGCGAATCAAAAATGCAAAAACAAATCAATATTTGTGCTTTATATGTGAACAAACTGGGTACAATTTAGGAATGCAGCTAACATATGCCCATTAGTTTTCAGATTAATGATCAGAAAGTGAGGTTCCTTAAAGAACTTTTTTTTTGCAGAATTAAACCAGGTGAAACTAAAATGTTTCCGCTTGTGCAGTTCTAGATAGAATTTTTTTTTTCTTTAATGCAAAATAATTACATTTTTTCACAATCTTGATATAAATCCTGCTCTAAGTGGGTTTCCCTGTCAGCTGTAGCCAGGTTTTAGAGTCTCTATACTCCAGTTTATAATTAATGGGTAACTGAATTAGGTGACAATTATTTTAATAATCCATAATCACGATTAATTCGATTAATTTTTAGCCCTGGTTCACTTTATCATACACTTGATTTTGATTAATATAAAACAAGCTGATTGACTAGAAACCCACTAGAGGAAAATCATACAAGCCGAACACTGACCGGTTGGTCCAAACAGGACGCATTAAGGATTTAAAAATGTTTTACTTCAAATCATTAATAAAAAAAAAATGAATCACAGTTTTATACTGTTCAGTATCCTTTCAATGAAAAGCCAAAATTTGCCCAATTTTGACAGATAAGTAATAAAAGAATGTGGTAGTTTTGCTATTGAAATGTGACTGTAGTTCATTCTATTGCAATATGCTTTACAGCAGTTAATTAACTTTTCTTTGTTCAACTATCAGAAAGTCTGATCCAACTTATTCATATCAGTAACAGTTAACTGTAAACATTGACCAGAACATTAAGAGTGTACTGCAGGTTTCTGCAGAGAGGATGTAGTTTTGAGTCTAACAGAAACGATAAAAAGATTAGCCCCGCTGTAAACATTGAAACTGGAAAACCAGCGGTGGAGCTGGTTTATAATGTGCATGTTTCTAAGACATTACAACACTTCTGTTGGGTTGCTCTATAAAAGCCTGGAACTCATCGCTAATCCAGACATTTGAAATTGAGAACGCTTCCTGGATGGGAAGCGAAACGTCTTTAAACTTGGAAAACAAAGTCCAGTGGTTTGTTTTGAACTTTTTGCAAGAATTAATTGTGATGAATCAATTATTGAAAATAATAATTAACTAATTTAATAATAATTCAATCGTTAACTGTAGTACAGAGACTCTGACAGAGCGACCCACTTAGAGCCGTAATTATATGAAATATATAAAAACTTTTTCGGCTGTCAATATGTTCCATCCAGATTGAAAATAAAACAATTGAAAACTTTTATTTTCACTTGGTTTAATTTCATAAAAAGTCTTCTTTAAGGAACCTTTAGCTATCTGATTATTAATTGATTAATCAAAAAAATAATAGAGAGAATAATTGATTTGCAAAAATAATCATTATTTTCAGCACTAGTGAGCTGTCATTTTACTATTTTTAATTATTTTATTTTCTCTTATTATACTATATTTTCTTTTGCTCTATTGCACTTACAAACTTATTTTTCTCGCTTCAAAGGAGGCACATATATCCCAGAAGGCTTTGTGCGGAGCACTCTTTTCGCAAAGCATTATGGGATTTGCTGTCACAGCGGCCCGCTGTCGCCATAGGCTGTAGCTAACTGACAGCAGCAACTAATAACAAAGATGGTGCAGGCACTGCACAGTGGAAAAGAGTAACTAAAATCAGTGATCATCTGTCCGAACAGTCAGTTAACTGAGTTCACTCTAAAGTCCACTATATAGTCCTCACTAGGTGTAGTGATTGAGGGATTTAGGGGTTAGGGCGGACGTTCGGACAAAGTAAGCTTGTATGAGCTATGAGAACAGCACCTTTTAAACTGAGCGTGCACACAGAGAAATGGGCTCCTGCCTGCTTTTGCACGCGTTTAATAGAGCATGTACAGAGTTGCGCATGTGCATTTTTTTAAGTGTAGAGGGCAAGTCTTTTTTTAAAATTCGCAAAAATCCTTCACTATACCTTTAATACAAAGATGACACGAGATCCAGCAGATGTGTAAGATTTTCTTTTTCTTGTTATAAAAAACTACAATTGAAGTATGAGATAATAATGGAACTATTGGAAAAAGATTGATTAACCACAAATACACTGGATTTGTCATTGACCCCACCAAACTGATTGTCATAGTGCTGACATGCATGAGCCTGATAAACAGGTTTTGTTGATTTCCATCAGCTCTAAGGCTGTAAGGTGTGGCTGGTGGGGGTCAGCATACCAGTAATCTCCCTCCTGACAAGAACAGAAGCAGGAAATAGTTTGAACTAACTGGAAGTTACAAAAGATAAGAATAATTAAAAACAAAAACAAAAGTTGGTTTAAATAAAATATGATGGCTGAAAATTTCTGACCTGCTGATCTTTATTCTTTACCATGACTAAGCAAACTATGCCTGGATGTTTATGTTATTATAGGTTCCCCACAGTAAAACAAAGAGAGGAGATAATTAAAAGAATGCCAACTGCAGGTTTGATCTATTAATATGCAATACACACTGTTTTTATACATTATTACAGAACTTAACATCCATATTATTAAGATGATTCTAGCCGTTTGTGTTTGGACTAAATGGTAGCCTATATAAGAACATGGCTATACCTTTACTACAGATACTATTTATTAAAAAATAAAACATAAAAAACTGGTTTATTTGCATCAAAGAGCTGCAGATCTGAGCGCTTCCGGTTGCATCATTTTGATGACTTTACGCACCGAATAGCTGCTAAAAGTCAAGGAGGAAGAGATTTTTCATATTTCTTATCAAACAAAGGACGTTCAAATAGGAGTGATTTTTTAATTAAAGCGGGAATCTGACGGACAATAAAAGCTAACATACATTTTAAAGTAGCAGCTTTTTCTACATTTGTAACCAAGGAGAGAAAGAAATAATCCTAATTAGGTTAAAACATGATTTAAAATGTTTTTCTAAAGCTTTGCTCATTTGTCCCCAGATTAGTTAAGAAAAGCGAGCGGTGCTATAAATATATTCAAAGCTGTAATAGCAAACAATTATCAGCAAAAATGGGATTTCTCACCTCGAGTCGCCTTGAATGAGTGTCCTCCTAGCCACGATGGCTGCTTCCTTATCTTCTTCTAGTTCTTCTTGGTGACGTCAAATGGTGGTAGGCGAGATAAACTTGCAGTACCGCCACCTACCGGTATGGCTTGTGGAAAAAAGATGACTAAAATAATAAGATTACCGATATAAAAACTATTCATCATTAACAATATCCTAAACTTGTATGTCTTATTCTTGATTTAATAAACTATATCCACCTTCTGTCCCTGTTATCCTTAATTTTTTTTACAGTAGTGGAAAGTAGGAAAGAACACTTACTTTTAACTTTCACTCCACTACATTTCAAAGTCAACTATTGTACTTTTTTCTCCACCCCATTTCGAGGAAGCTGCTAGTTCCTTGTTCCTGCTGGCTTTGTAATCCACTGTTGCTATTTATTTTTTTCTTAAAATGCAGTTTCATCATGGCAGATTGCTGCATTTAGGACTGAATTAGGACACCACTGTTTAGAGATTTGCGAAAAATTCCACAAATGTGAGAAACTCAGGGCTGATATTACCACTGGTGTCAAAAATACACACATTTGTTACTTAAGTAGAAGTATACATACTGTAGTTTAAAAACACTAAAAGTTGTAGTTTCAACTTGACCTCTTTACTCAAGTAAAAGTGAAAAAGTATGTGCTCCAGAAACTACTTAAAGTATAAAAGTATAAAGTAAAAAAAAAAAAAAAAAAAAAAAAAAACAGCCAGATGCCACTATATGAATTGAAAGCTCAATTTTTCAACTGTTTCGAAAAATTGTTTTAATTAGAGCCAACGATGAGGGAGGTCTTGTTGGTCTCCGTCTCCCGATACACTCTCGCCTGTGTCCGACCTTTCAGACATTTCAACGTCTTTTTCTGAATCTTACATCATAACATGACATAGACAATTCACCCTTGCAGTGTGAAGAACACCTGCTGGCTTCTGATCATTTCCTTTAGCTAACCAATGAGTGTTTGCGTTATATGACTCATCCAATTACTAGTTTTCACTAGATGTGGATGGCGCCAATTATCTGCATTGGATGGCGCACATGACGTGAAATAAATATTTATAAACATTAAACCGAAGCCAAGAGTAACGAGTAACGTTTGTTTTAAAAATGTAAGGAATAGAAAGTACGGATACTTTTGTGAAAATGTAATGAGTAGAAGTAGGGGAAAAATAAGTAATGGAGTAAAGTATAGATACCTAAAAAGTGTAATTAAGTACAGTAACAAAGTATTTGTACTTCGTTACTTGACAACTCTAGATATTACCTGTAGTTTATTATTTTATTAAGGCACTAGTTGTTGCCATGTGGCCAGGTTCTGTAGGATGAGTTCTCAAATCAGAGTTCCGGTTTCTTTGTGATAATAGATTCAACCTTAAACTTCTATTTTTGTAGAGAAAGTATAAGAATCAAGACACTCCTGTTTTCTTTTTGGTTTTTGTTAAAAAGAAATAATAATCAAATTAGATATTTGTGGCAGCTTTTATTAAGTTCTTTTCAGGTGGTGACGAATTGGTAGCAGTGGTTCTATGCATCAATACATCAAGTGGTTTCTGGAAGTTACAAGGTTCTTTAAAATTATACAGAAATGTACTAGTATTAAAAATATAATTTGTATTTTTTAATACTTAAGTGATTTTAAATGCATGTACTTTTGAATACTTAAGTATTTTCAATACTTCATCTGAGTAAATGTTTAACTGAGTAACTTTTATTTGTAGTTCAGTAAGATTTGACTGTTAGTATCAATACTTTTATTCAAGTACCACTGTTGAGTACTTTGTCCACCACCGATTTTATTTCACCTTCTAACCTATCTATATATTTGTTAAATCACTATCAATTTACTATTATACATCTTAATTGATTTTATATTATTAATGCCTGAGCTAATAACCAGATGCTTCTGTTCTTCCATCCATCTCCAACCTTGTAACTTTGTTTTCCCAACTAACTTCTTTGAATCCCAAAAAATTTTCAGCTGCTCTTTCAATGATTCTGATTTTATATGTCTTATGCTTGACTATAAAATTAGTTCCTCTGGTGTCGGGGTGAAGTTTTCTTCTCTTTCTACTTTGCTTTGCTTTTAAACGTGATTCTGTGCTTGATTCATTTCTCATGTCATTTGTCCTTGAACTCTCTTCAGTGCTTCTTTTCCACATATGTTTGGTTGTTTTGATGTTTTGTCCATAAACTGAAGTTAAAAGCTTTCAGCTGATCCAAAATGCTGCAGCCAGAGTTCTTATGAAAATTAAAAATAGAGATCATATTTCTCCTATCCTTGGATCTTCATTGGCTTCCTGTTTAATCCAGAATAGAATTTAAAATCTTCCTTCTCACATATAAAGCCTTAAATGGACAAGCTCCGTTCTGAAAGTAGAAACGGAGGCAAATCCTTTAGTTATCCGGCTCCATCCCTTTTTGATAAAGCTTATAGTTAGGGTGGCTCAGGTTATCCAGAGCTATCTCTATAGTTATGCTGCTATAGGCTTAGACTGCTGGAGGATACAGTGGCCCCTTTTTTCATCATTCTGCTTCATTCTATTTCTATTGTCCCATTCTCCAGTATTCTCTAACATTATGTAATTAAGTAAGTAAGTAAGTAAGTAGTAAGTAAGAAATGTTTATCTATATAATACCTTAATACAGAGGTCACAAAGTGCTTCACAAAATTACAAAACATATAAAAATACATTTTTATTTACAGTCACAAAAGACAACCCTACTAGAATTAAAATACTTTCTTAAACAAATAGGTTTTCCGTTTGCTCTTAAAAACACCAATAGAATCCAATAAGCGCAAGGAAAGTGGGAGATCGTTCAAGAGAACCTGTGCAGCCGGCTGAAAGTAGCAGTCTCCCCTGGTCCTGTAACGAGTACGAGGGACTATGAGCAGGTTCTGGTCCTGAGACCTCAGCCTCCGAGAGGCAATATAAGTCTCTAATGTAGGAGGCAGCCTGACCGTGGAAGGCTCTCAAGGTCAGCATACCCAGGATTTTGCTCTCTCATCTGGCTATTTGGCTGTGACACCATCCTGGAGAGAAATATCAGCTGTGCTGCTGCCATCAACACCTTTGTGTATAGATGTTTGAGCTCAGCCTGTTTTTCAGTGTAGTCCTGTTTCTCTGACTGTGACTAACAGGATGTGCTCTCTTCATCCTCTGACATTGGAGCTGGCTCGGTGCTCGTTTGCCTGGCTGTGTGTTTCCTGGACGAGGCCGCCTATGGAGCTGGTTGACAGTTGCCTTTTGTATCTCTGCTTCTTTTTGTATGTCTGCTTCTGTCTCATTAAACCCCAGTCAGCCTCGGCAGATGGCTGCTCATACAGAGCCTGGTTCTGCTGGAGGTTTCTTCCTGTTTAAAGGGAGTTTTCCTCCCTACTGCTTGAAGTAGGGACATGCTTGATGTGAGGAATTGCTGAAGGGTCAACGAGTCGATGCAATCAACTTGTTTTCCGTAGATAGGAAACTTTAAACCAATCTGACTGTATTATTTGGTTGAAATGTCTCTGTAAAGTACCTCGAGATGAGATGTGTTGAGAACTTGTGTTATGTAAACTGTATTTCCACTGCTTTCTTTCTCGCTAAACATCCTCTATAGTAAACTCTGTGCAGGCTTTCACCATTGCAGCACCTTTCTACAGCTTCTTCCCTGCACTCCTTGATTCTGTGTTCATCTCTTTTGCTTTCCCCTAAAAACTACTACGTGCCAAAGCGCTGATACCTGTAGCACCTGAGTGGAGGTGGAATGAACTGCTTGACTGGGAAGCTAAACCTATTTTATCTCTTTCTAGTCAAACTGGCTCTAAAAACTCAACCAGCAGGGACATGCTTGCTGCTCCTCTGCCTTCTATATTTATTTATTTTGTTAACCTTGGCTCCAAAAAGGTTTATGATTAATCAATCTAAATCCTGGTTATTGTATTCCTGTCACTGCTATCAATGTTTTATTATCTCCAATTACTTTTATCTCTATCACCTCCCTCCCACCCCCACCCCCGTGGTCAACATCCAAAACCTGTTTTTGTTGGGTTTTTTTGCTCCTCAGTTTTGCAAATTATCAGCAAATTTCTATCTCTTAGCTCCCTCACCATTTGGATTCTCATTCTTTTATTTATCTGAAAATCATTAGGGGCTCAAAGGACTGTTATTTCTTAGCACTGAATCCAATTATTATTTTTATCTCTTCTCTTACTACCGTCCTTTGCACAACTCTTTCTTCATCTGGACTGCTTATTCTTCTAATTCTCGTTTATATCCTTCACTCAAACAACGTTTCACCCTTTTACCTGCTATATCTCTCCCTTTCCAATTTGGAACTGTTATCCAGCCTTTTTCATCCTCATCTACCTGACTTGCCATTTTGTGGCCACGAGCCCATATTCGCCGGCCTGTTTTCAAGAAAGACTATGTCCAAAAGGCTTCTCCCTGCTAACCACTTTTTGTCATGAACCCAGCTTTCCAGTTCTCGAGTGTGTAGTTCATGATGGATTCATCTTTATATTACAAAAATCGAATTCTTTATAATGTGGTTCTATATAAAAATTTATAAACACCCTCCTGAATGCAGCAGAAATCTATCCACAGGCATCAATAAGGTCCTCTTGAACCTTGGTAACATAAATAAGGACACACCAACCATGAAGGTGTGTCCAAACTCAATTGTTAAGGTAAGACATGTTTACTTATATTGCACAAGTCAGTAAAAGGACAACTCATAGGGTTTTACAGGAACAAAACCCTCACACAAAGAGTACTTTTTAATTCAGGGCAGAGGAAATCTATAATGATTCATTTAGATTTAAAAGAAAAGTCAAAATAAGCTCTAAACAAATTCAAATTTAAATGAGCTCAGAAACTTGAGAAACCCGAAATAACAAAGAGGTCTGAAAGGTCGATATCTTTGCAACAAATCTGTAGTGTTTCATGTTAAGGCATTCATCAGTTCATAAAAAAAAATATATATATATATATATATATATATATATATATATATATATATATATATATATATATATATATTTTTTTTTTTTTTTTTTTTTTTAAGGTCTTTTCTCTGCAATACAGTAAGCCAAGAACTGGAGTGGGTGTGATATTTGTAGACC